GCCAAACCAAATACCCATATCTTTCTTTCTGGTTTTCTACCGCGATGATATTCTTGTTTGCATCGAAATAGACTTTCATCTATTTGCATAATATTTCTATCACCTCCGAAGCAAAGTGGTTTTTAATTGCATGTTTTAAACATTATCTTCGTAAGAGATCAGCTGTCTTTATTATTGTTTTTCTTACCACATTCACCTCTGACCCTGCCTATACTTGTGGTTGGTTGTTAAACTATTTATAATATACCTATAGTATGTTACTCAGAGAAACTTGATAATAATGACTCGGTGTGAATAGAAACGTGTTACTGTAATTAATACACCTACTGTTAAAACACCTAAATACTGCTCCATCTCTATTTCTAGAGTATAGGTTTATTTCCATATCTTGTTGACAAAATAGACACTTCACGATCTTTTCAATATACCCTTGGCGTGAAAAAACTCTATAAAGTTATCAATTAGTTTACGTAATAACAGTTCTAATACATTGCTATACAAATGATTCATGGGTTAAAAAATTTTTAAAAAAATATCTTATTATAATTTTATATTATTTTTGTTTGTATTTTTAAGATCCTTTTTTACCCTACGTGGGTAAAAGGATTTGATCCGAGGTAATTTCATACAAACATTTTTGATTAAACATCTCAATTGAGTTTTGTTTAAAGCTTTAATATGAACAACTAAAATTTTCTAAGTAAAAAAAACAATTTCTATAAGTTTTAAAAAAGGGAAGTTAAGGTAAATATTTAAGAATGTACTGAGAAGTTTCCAGTCTTCCACGTGTCTCTTGTAATGATAGATTTTGATATTAATAATGAAAAAATATGTGATTCAATTACTTTCTCAGTATATACTACCTTTAATTCTCGTATAGAAGTTTTAAAATCTACTTTGTTAACTATACTTTTAAAAATTTTATGAAAGATTATTTTATATTTATTCATTTTGTATTTATGGAAATACTTCTGCTTTGACAACAGGAACAGTGAGTTGAACCTATAAATAATCTATCTCTACTTGTGAGTCACCACCGAAAATCTCACTTTATCAAAAAAGACATGGTTTTATCTTTTTCTTTGCTTCTAGAATACAATATGTGTAATTACAATCATTTCTTGTTTTAATAGTATTTTAACCATTTTTAGGTTTAGAGTCTAATGTTATATGTATCGTACTCACTACTATTTATGAAGCCGGTTTCTAAAGCAGGTTTCAGAATTACTATATAAATAATTTTGCAAAATAAATGATGTTTAAACATAAACATTTTATTTTAACCAAGTAACACGGTCATGTAGAATACGACAATATACTTAAAGGTAAAGTGGAATTAACGGATATATTGATCAATTATACTTATTGACACTGAAATGTCAAAAGTTTCGTTGACTTTTATTTTTAAACTTTTAATCTAAGAATAGACTCACGGTACATCCCGTAAAAATTGTTTCTATTATGTTTAAACTAAATTTAGAGTGTCTATCAACCACGAGATTATAGTAGTACCTTATCAGTAATATTATAATATTCTATAAACTATATACACTCTAGTAAGATATTACTTACATATCTGTTATATCACAAACTGAGTAACCTTCAAGTAACTTAGTAACTATACTTTGCTTGTAATCATTGGAGATAACTTTATGTTCCCCTTAGACTATATTGATCCCTTTTAAAGATTTTAACACTGTATTTTCTACTACCACTGCATCTGTGTCTGTCTTTTCTACTACTACATTTGTAGAACTTTTA